ATTGACACAATCTCACAGTTTGAGTGCACATTCCAGAAATACTCTATCATCACTGGAACAGAACGAGGCTAAGGAAGGTTATCAGAGGATTGGGAACTGTGGTGCATAGGAGCAGGAATGATAACACCATTAGTCCACATCTGATAGTGATTTGATACTGGACTGAGTCTAGAGCAGTTCCATTTAGCCAATAAATCCAAAGCAGGGGAAAAAAAAGTTAATCATAGTTGATGGTGCTTGTATGTGTCCAAAAAAATTATTTGCAGATAGATATTCACAACTCTGGCATTGTGCCCCTGTCCAGAATATTTGTCTAAATATTAAAGAACAGTAAATTAGAAAATGTACTTAAATGTAGTCCCATGTCCATGAATTTTCAGCTGAACTTTGGCAGTAAGCCCTAAATGTGATAAAAGACTCCACACCAATATATTTTGCTTTTCTCTTCCTTTTTTTTTTATTCCTTTCCTTTCTCTCTGTCTCCACAGACAAAGCTGACAGCATAGCATAGATCTTGAGTTATGGCTGATGCATTTTTCTAAGCTAAAGTATGTTGCTAGCTCTTATGCTAATGACTGCAGCAGAATTCCAGCCTCTGCGGGAACTTATGGGAAGAGAGGTTACTGCTGAGCGTCGTCTTGGACTTAGGATCTTCCTTTGGGTCCTTCCACAGCGAGAGTCAGACAGTGCCTTGTAAGTGACATCAAGGTAGAAAGTCTTGCTGTCCCCATTTTACAGATGGACTCTCAGAGAGACAGGAGGAATAAAGCCAAACGCTTCAAGGATACTTAGTGGAGGTTAAGTGCCAAGTTTCCTTTGAAGGTTTAAACCCAAATGACATGCCTGTGATCATGCAAGAGATTTGTATCGCCCATGGGAGCAGAATCATTTTTTCAGGGTAGTGTCATAACCACTCCACAATCCTTCCTCTTTCTTCTTCCTCAAGCTCCCACTGACTTCAAAGGTGAAGAATTATGGCCCGCATCCCACAGTACTGAGAGCTCAGACGTGTGTGCAGAGCTCTACCCACACATATTTTCCATCAGGGATACTGCTCAACTAAAATCATACAGGCAGTAGGGAGGGTAAAAAATGTCTGCAAGGCTGGGACTTCTTTTCTATTCTCACTTTCCCTTTCTTTAACCTCAAAATTTAAACTAAGAAATGCAGAGGATACCAAATGACTGAGTTTGGGGTCTACTACACTGTCCATAGGAGAGTCGTGACCCAAAGAAAATAGGGACAGAAAAAAAGGAGAGTGCTAACTTATTCAGTAAAACGAAACATTCCATATTTTGAACACCTCAATGAAATACATTATTGAGTTTCCATGAGAAATATATACATACACCAACTGGTTGAATTCTTGGAAAGCTTCATGACTTGCAGAGACTGGACATAAAGAATCAATTTATCTTTTGTTATGTGTAGCCACTACAAAGTGAGCACACCCCAGGTGATGTGTTTTTTCTGCTCGTCCAACTGTTACTCTCCTGGATGAACAGCAAAATTAGAAGTTAGGATTTTTGCCTGGTTCCATCATCCACTCCACTGTGCACTTAAATACTGGGAGCACTATTCAGCTATTATTTGTTGATCACTCCCTCACCCAATGGCACAGCAAACGCCTCATTCATTCCCTCTCAGTTCAAAAACAACAAATACATGTAATTTAAATGTTAAAAGTTATTTTTTTCACTGAATGGAAACAAAATAAAAGTGGAAGAGAGAATGTGCATCATTTTGGTACACATTTAAAACAAAAGATTTTTTTTTCTTTTGCCACCCCCCAAAAAAAAAAAAAAAACCAAAAAACAAAAAACAACCCACAAACAAACAAACCACTTAAATTCTGGCTCTAGTTAATAGTTTCCTAATTGCGTGTGACTGTTTTTTGACTTCCTGATCCCTGTCTGGTGGTTAAGAATCCAAAGGGTTTCTTAAATCAACAGGAGCAGCTGCCTCCTCGAAGCCAGGCATGGTGTATGTCACTAACTGTGGAAAGGAACTGCAATACAGGGAGGAGCAGAGGTGATTAATGGGGCAAGTGTCATAGCTCAGAGTGTGGTTGCACTACTGTGTATGGGCATACTTACTGCAATCATTTATCTTCTGTCCTCTGCCACACAGACACATGCCTGCATATTTTATTTTTGCCAGGCATTAGGAATACAGGAACGCTCAAGGTGCAGCAGGACCTGTAGCTGATGATGTGCCTCTCGAGGTGACGCCTTCCTTTGTCTTGTTCCTTGGACAAGCACCAGAAACACTGACAAAACACAGTCCTTGGTTTTAAGTTTCTCTCTCTGCCATTGGAAAACTTTTTCCCACAGAAGAGAAGGAAAGAAAGGGAGGGGGTGAAGAAAAGGCAACTAAATGGCTCTGTTTTGTGTACCATGTTTTAGGTTAGATAAAGGGGAGGAAAAAAACTGTAGGTTGAATGTGGATGTTGGATTGCAAGTGATGGAGTAGCCCAAGGTGATGAAAGATACTTCCATTCTTGGCAAAGATCTTCTTGGTCAAGGTCTAAATGCAACTTCTGTTCTTGAGCTGTCTTGGCCTCCAGCATCAGAGCTGTCCCCTGGCTGGAGTGGGATGCACAAAGCTGCTTGGTCCCCCAGCGTTGCTGCTCCTGCTTTGTGTAGGAGCAGGTTGTCCTCACAGTACCTTGTTTTCCCCAGAGCATCTCAGGTCATTCGAGATCAGGTCCCATCAGTTCCCAGCCTTCACTTCCCTTCAGCAAAAAACAGAGAAGAAGAGACTGCTCTTATGTGGGTGTTGAGCTTTCAGATGCTTCAAAAAAATGTCACCCTCCATTTCAGTGTCTGAAGGCTTCCCTGACTCCTTCCTGAGCTACATCAATCCTTAAAGCACAGGCACTCAGTACAGAGGAGATGCAAAGGCTTGTGATACCTGCATGGACCCCCTGATTTACAGCTTTGTGTTACAGAGGTTAATGCAAGTGTAAAATAACTACTCATTCCTTGTACTTTATTCCTACAATATAAATCTCTCCTTGCTTTTCACCAGGAATGGAAGCCTCTACATCCTGTGCTGCTGTAGCCAGCAGCATTTTACCTCTTCAACACCATCAGGCTGCTTCTGTATCCCTTTGAGACAAATGCATGTTCGTGCCAGACATGGAGGCAGCTTCCTTCCAGGACATTGGTGTCTCTGATAGGTCTGGCTTAATGGGACTTATTATTTGTTGAGGCTGCCAAAGGTCTAAACTGAGAACAAGGTGCAAAGTACTTGCATGCTCTGAGGAGTTCACAAGATGCACTGGTGATTCCAAGCCATGCTGGAAAGACCAAAGCAATGTTTCAGGGTAATGCAATTGAACACTTAAGGAAGGATATGCTGTGAGAATCACGGTGATTTGGCAAGGCAGGTTGAGAAGTCATTCGGAAAACAAAAGGTTCAGCTGGTCTGTAAGACCCAGCAGGCTGGGGCAGGGTCGCTCTCAGCATCAGTGTTAGCTCCATCCACTTGGGAGCCCCTGGCTCAGGAGATGTGGTCCTCATTTCTGCCTCACTCGACTGGGAACAGCCTTTGGTGGGAATCCAGAGCGAGGTGTAGGCGCGTCCTGCATAGTGCATGGTAAGAAATCTCTGCTGCTTGGTCCTACACACACATCAAGAGTGATGCAAATGGGGCTGTAATGAAAAAGCTGTAAGGAGAGTCACCAGGAAGTTGGAAGTCTCCCTAAGACTTGCTGAAAACTTTTGGAGAGGCAATATAAGTGAAGAGGATGGGAAAAGACAAAAACTGTTGTGATAAAACCATGTGGCCAAGTGGGAGGGTAAATGTGGTCTGCAAAACATAGTTTGAAGGCAAGTTTTAGAAAATGAGTACAGGAATTTGGTATAGTAGAAAACCAGAGGAAGAATAACCCAAGTAACAGAGTCACTGCATCAAGTATTTCAGCACAGCAAGTGAGGGATGTTCCCCTCTTGGGCTGTGCATGCGATGTCATTACCATCAACTCAGATTAACACTGGAAATCCTGGCAGCTTCACATGCACCTGGGGACTCAGAAAGCTGAATCTGGGTTTTGCAGATTAAGCTGCTTTCCAGTGGTGAGGCACAGAAAACCTCCAGAACGTGCCTGGGTCCTGTTAGCAGTCATCAAACACTGCCCACTTACAGAACTTCCCACTGTGGGGCACGTGGGCCCCCAGACTCTCGTTGTAGACTCTCATTGTTATCCTAATAATCAGAGATTTTTGGCTTGTCTGTCCATTACAGCTTGGATCTTGGCTCATTCCTGGGTCTGCCTCTGGTCCTTGGGGTTTCAGCCTTTCTTCTGTGTCTGTGAACATCTCTTGTCACAAAAGCAGGGATTGAGGGAGCAGTTCTTGTGAAAATCTCTTCCTCAGAAATATCAGGAACATCCCAGGGATTTATGTATTGCAATGCATCGTCTTTTCTGGTGAGATCTAAAAGCATCTAAAGCTGCAAGAAGGATAAGGGGTTTACCCTGCGTACATTTTCCTATGTCTGGATTTGCTGTCCTTTCCTGCTTTTAAAACTGTTGGGTGATTAAAAAGGCCCAAATACAATCCAAATCTTACAGTACTTACTCAAGTTCACGGTGACCTTCGCTGGGAACAGATCACCAGATTTTGGTATTAAATAACCAATGAACTGTTTTGAGCAAGAAGAGAATAAAGGTCCTAGTAACTCATCCAAATGTAACACTTGAAACTACATTTTGCTGAAGGAACAAAGAAAAGTAAAAATGAACTAAAGTTTTATTTGGTAAAATACAAGTTTCACTTGGGAAAAAAAAATTATATTCATTGTTTTTTTGTTGTTTTGTTTTTTTTTTTGAGTTCCTAACAACCTCCCAAGCTCTGATCCTCTAGTAGTTTGTTGTTTGTTTTTTTTTAATGATAGTGATGCTCAGGTGGCTTACATAAGGCTGGATTAAAACATGGAGTGTTTTGGTCATTCCTTAAGCAGTGTCACCTGAGCTATACCTTCTCTCTCCATTTCAGGTCCCTAACTTCATCAACACAACACTCCCACCCCACGAGCAGGTGACGGCTCAGGAGATAGACAGCTACTTCAGACAGGAGCTCATCTACAAGAGGAATGAGAGGATGGGGAAGAGGGTGATGTCACTTTTAAGGGAGAACAGAGACAAGAGCTTCTTCTTTGCCTTTGGAGCAGGTATGGCATGAATTTTTCTGTTTTACTCAGTTATTGTGATTGGAAATGAAGTGTTTTGAATGCTTCAGGATTTTGTCTCTGAGCTTGTGGGAAGATTCCTTCCACTGGGAAGCAGAAAGGTTTTTGTTTGTCTAGACCTGCTTCTAAAATGCAGTTGTTGAAGGAGGTGGGCCTGGGTCCAGCGTGGCTGCAGACAGGCTGCACTCCTTTGTTTTCCATCCAGCTGTAGAAATGTGAAGCTGTGAGTGCTCTTCCCACTGCTGTGTTTGTTCCCTTCCCAGACTGGCTTGTGGGCTGCTTGGGTTGTGTTCACACAATGGTTTGTGGCCCCAGGTGTAGCAGATAGTTGAAGTTTGAATTTGCAAGCCCAGGATGCTGATGGCCTGCAAACTCCTGGTTGGCACAGGCAGATGTGTGGCAGGCACATGGTGCTGGCCCAGGGTTTCAAACCTCTTGGGGTTGCTGTAGTTAAGACTTTCTCGATGGGTGACCTAACTGCTCTGGCGATGTTTCTGTACAGATTTGCTGGTTTGGGGCTTTGCACAAGTGCATGAGTCATGTGTGTAGCTAAATACCTCATTTTAAACCATTAACTAAAAATCCAATATGTCATTTTGCCTGTTTAAATGCTCTCCCTGAAGTCTGCAGAACAAAGACGTCTGCAGTACTTCAGTGAGTCTGCAACAGTACGTGCTACTCTTCTTTTTCCTCCTTTTATTTTTTATTTCTTTTCCCTTTTCCAGTGGAATTCACATTTCTGAATGATAAAAGTATAAATAATAACCATTCAGGCCACAGCTCAGCTGAATCCTGAGCGCCAGCTTAAGTGTCTCTTTGAGCTCCCTCAACTTCAAGGCAGCCTGAGATTGCCGTGCTGAGAACCAATCTGCTCGTCCTGCTCCCTCTCCTTGGCAATTTCTCATTTTTGACAGAACTTTGCTTCTCATCCCAAGGCTCTCGCTATGAACTTTGGCAACAGCTCACCTTTTGCTACTCACTTCAGTGGGAATTTTGATTAAAGACTGCGGGTTTTAGTGGAGACACATGCATTTTGATGTATTTATTTTTTGAGTGTATCCGGGGCTGAATTTTCCCAAGCTTATTTAATCTCAAGCTTACCTGATGTTTCTGGCCAAGGAGTTTTGCTTAACTGTTTTTACAGTAGGAAAATATATCATGATGGTTCATAACTGGAAAGGGATTCATAAAAAGCAGGTTGTCTAACCCGAGGAGTGAGGTTTATCAGAGATTATCGAACGTGATGGCTTTGATGTAGTCTCCAGTTTTGGAAATCCCTTCACCAGTACATATTAGAGCTGAGAGGATAAGCTCATATTGGGCATCACTGCCCACTTGCCCTGCTCTGCACGCTTTTCCAGGGCATCAGTTACAGACCAGGATCTTGGACTAGGTGGGCCATGGATCCAATCCGCTGCAGCTGTTTGTTTGTGCTGATAACAGAAGTGAAATCAAGCAAATGGGTACTAATTACACGCTGCATTCTATAGAAAGGCACTTTTAACTTCTGGGAGGTTTGAGCTTTCATTCCCTTTCCCCATCAGAGAGCACCTACCTGAAACTCCCAGGCAGCATCCCTTGGGTAAGCTGGTCATGGAGAGCAAGTCTCATTTTGTCTTTGACACCCATTCTTGGCCATGTTGAAAACTGCCTTTGTTGCTGGGTTGTTTTGTTTTCCCAGCACTGACTGTAGGACAGAACAGACACATGCAACCGGATTTATTGAGAGCTGGGACATGGGAGATGCCAAGGAAAGCTTTTTGTTTTGGGCTCTTTGTTCCAGCATCCCTTTGGCCTTTCTCACCAAAGTGGGCCATCCCTGCAGGCCATCCCTAGTTTAGCACAATTAATTCCTTCTTTCTTCTCTGGGGTGTTTTTTCCTTCATGCAGTAAGTGCTGAGAAAACTATTGATTTTTCAATGCCATAATCATTATGTGACTGAAGTGCAAGCAAGTTCATTTTCTCTTATGATTCAAATGCAGTTTTTCTCCTGAAGGATTTTTTGGGGGTTTTGTTTCCTTTTTATTTTCCCTGTGCACTGAATTATAGGAGTGGTGTTTTTTGATACATCTTGTATTTTTCGTTTACTTCTTGAATTTTAATGGGTTTCTTTGGTATGAAGTTGGGTTGTGAATTCAAATAGTTTTCTAAAACTTTGAGCGTTTATGAAAGTGAAGGGTGTTTTTGATGAAAGTTGAGGCTTTCACGTATTCCCATGAATTCTGCAGTGCAAAATTTTAGGAATGCACCTTTGGATAGGACAGGCATGGTAGAGTCTGCAGAGGCTAATTTGCTCCCAGAACAGTGCAAAAATTATTTCACTTCATTTAAGATTCTGCATCTTTAAGACTAACATGATGAAGGGGAAATAATTAAAAAAATATATTCTGGGCAATGTACTCCAAATCATGCTAAGCGTGATTCCTGCATCAGTCCCTTTATTTTGAGGATGTTGGAACTAATGGATGAATAGTAATTAAATTATATATCTGTATTGTTAATTGTTTTCCAAATTCCATAATTTCCATCATAGTTTCTGGGAAGGGAAGAACCAGCTAAAAAATGAGCTGCCAAATCAAATTAGGAAAATAAATATTTTCCTAAATAAGAAAATAAGCCTGTTATGTGAAAAGCACCTTGGAAAAACTTCCCCAATGCAGTTTTATGTGCCAGGGTTGCTGTAGGAGGGAGTCCCAAGCCCCACATGATGATTCATGTGGACTCAGTGGCATCCTGTAACTCACAGGTATAGCTGGTGCCAAAGAGGCTTGGAGATGGGGACAACAGCCCTCCTGAGGCAGAGCCCTGCCTGGTTCCTGCAGTGGCAGCCCTGCAGGAGCTGTACCCTGTGGATACTGCCCTAGTGAAGGTTTTAGTTGGCTTTTGCACAGCTCTGTGTAGCAATTGAGGCTCTGCTGCTCCCTCAGGGCAGCATCCTCAGCTTGATTTGAGATCCCAGTGCCATGGGTGGGTGGTTCTGTAGTGTCTGATAATGGATTAGTATAACAAACTTGACTAAGCCAGAAGGCACCACACAGGTGTCTTTGCAAAATACAGTCTGGTTCAGCTCAGTGGGTTCTGCTCCATGACTGTAGAACCAGAAATACCCACCAAAAACCCCAAAGAAACCCCAATGACTGGCTTCAACTGAAAAGCAAAATGATGATTTCCTGGCAGCCTGGTGGTGCAGGAGCCCGATGCTGCTGGGCTGGAGGATGTCTGTCAGCAAAGAGTGTGTGGGCAGTGTTGCAGAAATCTTGCAGAAAATCCTTTCTCAGTTGAAACGTGGTAGGGTTTAAAGCCCAGTCCCTATAACAAAACATGCGCTACACCATCAGGAAAAAAACGTTGAACTGATTGGGAAATAGCAGGCAATTAATTGGACGTTTGGGGAGAACAGAATTTTTCTGCTTGCTTCTGAAAAGCAAGTCCAAACTTGGGATTCCCAGATAAAGTTTTGCTGTGTTCTGTTTAGAGCTGTGCTGCAAAAACCCTTGTGGTGCATCACAGGAGAGGTGGCTCAGAGTCTGGTCTGCAAGAGCACAAGGCTGTGAAACATTGAACAGATGAGTCCTGGGAATGAAGGAGTGGGAAAGGGACAGGCCTTTGAATATCCAAGCCAGCTGAGATAAAACAGTTTTTCAGAAAGTGAAGCAAAGCTTTTTTATGCTGTTGAAAGATGGGGTTTTTTTGCTCCAGTCAGAAGTATAAAAAAAAAAGAAATTACTCAGTTCTGAATAGAGCTTTTCAGTTTTCCATCATTCTTAAAAATAAAAAATAGACTTTTCAATGGATTTCCCGTCTTCCATGGAATTACTCACAATTTAAATGTGTTGGAGTAATTCAGACTTTTAATTTATTCCTTTATAAAACACGTAGAAGTGAAAATAGTCATTTATTCTTTCTACTTTCATTTCTTTCTCCTCTCCAAGAAAAATACAGGCTTTGAGTAAAAGGGGACCCAGCTTGTACCCAGTTCTGTAGACTTCGTTCTTCTCCTGCCAGGTTTACCATATTCAGGCTTAATGTGAAAATATCACCATACCTGTATTCACAGTAATTATACTCTAGTAATGAAACAGCAGTTATTGTTTGTGCAGTTAAATGATATTTTCCAGTTATGGGCAAGTAATGTTTCCCTTTGAATGACTAAGGGGTGCTCAATAAAGTACTTTCAAGTAAAATTTGGGCATTTGCTTGGGTTTTTGTGTTTTGAAAATCCATCATGGATTGCTAGGAATTATTGATCTGTAATAACAGCCTTAGACTTCATATATACAGACAATTTATAAAGGGCCATTTTACAGTCATGAAAGACACACAACCAAGAGCACACAGGCTGTTAAAAAGAGTTAATATTTTGGCAACTAAGACTATACATATGAAGTCAATGTTTAAGAAAAAAATCACTCTGGTTTATTTCATTTTTATGGGCAAATAATTTTCAAGTAACACTTATGATAACAGATGGATAAATTTATGTCTGCAGTTAATTTGAACGATAATTTCCTTAGGATGTTTTACTTACTTGCATTTTTTTCTTTCTTTCTTTTATGAGAGCTGTCAGTTTTGTAGCTGAGAGCTGGATTTACTGCTTCAAAAATTCGGATGCTACTCCAGTTCACAATGTTTATTAGCAGCCAAATCAGTAGGGTTTAAGGCAGTGGGTTTGGTTAGTTAAAATAATAAATGTATCATGGAGGATTTTCTTTAAGTTCTGAGACAGAGCTGAAATGTAAGTACCATGGCATCTCCCACAGTAAGAGGGGATTCAAACTGTCTCTGGACCATGGTGCTGTGGTGGAGGAAAGAAGATGTTTAACCACCTCAGCAGCCCCTGGCATCTGAGATGTCAGAGAGGACCCAAGCTGTTGTCTGTGGTGTGGTGGAAACCAGAGTGTGCTGGTGACCACAGCTCCAGTGGATCTGGTGATAACAGGGATCTGTGTACGTGAAAGTACGACCACTCTTGCTCAGCTGT